ATAATATGACACTGTGGAAAGTCCGGAAAAAAAAAAAAAAAAAAAAAAGACAAGTACATACCACATACTCCCGGATAAGCATGCCAGGGTCTTCACCCATGTAGATACACACTCCCTTGACACACTCACGTTCAGCATCAACATCTTCACACTGAAATGAAATGTATGTAATTAGCATCTTCATTCAGCTCTTGTCCTTCATTTAAGTTTTAATAGTGTACTTTACATGAATGTTTTTAAAGTAAAGGCACACAAATTAATAATAGGTTTACTGGCAATTAATAATAAGTTGACAAAGTGAAGGTTAAAAAAACAAGCAGATGTAAAAATACAAATGAGAGAATTTATCATGGGAAATTCAAAAAAACAAGACAGATTGTAAAAATAACAGATTATCATGAGAGAATGTGTATCATCAGGTGTTAAAGTGACATGTTTGAAATCTTGGCTCTACAATTCAGTCATTACAGTTTCATCCACCACAAGAGTGATCATGTTAATGCTGAGTATTAGTTGAGGCATTAGATCACTTACATTATCCATTTATGCCACAATTCTTTTCAGTATTAGTCCAAGCTCTCCTCTTCTGTTGACCAACTTCACCAGGTTGTCCAGTGGAGACCAGCTGAGCCAGGAACTTTGTCTGAGGGGGGATGGTGGCAATTCTCTTAAACTCAGCGTTGATCTGAAAACATGAGCACAGAGGAATGAGCTTTAAAGGTTTAATACCTGGAAGAAGGCTGCAATCACTCATGCTGAAGAAATGGGCTGTCAAATAACAACTGTGCCTTAACCATTTTAGGCTAATACCACAAGAACACCGTGTATGAGGCAAACCTTACCTCATGGAAATCAATTAGAGCAGGCCATCTTGCCATGAAAGCCTCCACCATTGGTGCATCACGAACACCTTCATGTCTTCTGTATGAAAAAGTCTTTTCCATCTTGAGTTTCACCAACTCTGTTACTCTTTTTTATGTCCAAGTCTGAAACTGCCCTGAAGACAACACTGTCTCTTGACTTCAACGATGAGATCCTCAGTTGATTCAGGCGCTCCATTAGAGAGTGAGCCTTCGACAGGTTCCGTCAGCCAAAACAGTCTTTAGGACCATAGGACTCCCCATAGGACTCTGTAGGCAAAAAAGAATTACATATTCAGAAAGAATCCTTTCAGTTTAGTTTTCATAAAGCTATCCATACCCAATAGTCAAAGTTATAAAGATCAGACATAAAAAAAGAAGAATTTATCTAATGAAATACATGCGACTGAACCTATTACACTTATATGAACACCTTTTATTTCTATATGCCTTTTAAAGTCACAATGTGGACTGATCCAATCTCATAGTCAACCAATGGATAAGTATCAAGGAGTTCACAGAGTGAAATGAGAGTGAATATTCTTGTGGATACTGGGCTGAGCTCAAAAGCTGTCGTGCTCTCTGTACCAGCCACCAAGCTCTCTGACAATGTAGAATATGCTGTGGTACAATGCAGATATGGTTTTTCAGTATTCTGGCAATCCACCTGCTGCCCTTTGGGCCAGTACCATTCCATTTCTATAAGTTATGCCCTTTAATGTCACACACTGTGCAAGGTTGACCTCTAGAATGTCAGGGAATATGTACCTAATGACTTAAGCTATCTCCTCTTTAAGTCTTTAAATCCACCAGGTTAAGAAGGCAGGTCGACCGGTCAGGGCGCCGTCAGAGCCTGACAGTAATAGTCGCCTGCACACACAGATATCCCCCTAAAATAGCTAAAACTAAAAACAAACTAAAAACAACTTCCAAAAACATTCAGCTTTGATATTAATGAGTTTTTTGGGTTCAGTGAGAACATGGTTGTTGTTCAATAATAAAATTATTCCTCAAAAATACAACTTGCCTAATAATTCTGCACTCCCTGTACGTCATATATACATCTTCTAAAGAATCTGAAAAAATATGAGATATATTATCAAGGACTGCAAGTTCACATATTTGTATACCCACTATTACTGTGAGCATGAAGTCTAAATGTGTAATGATGAAAGAATATGAAAGAAGCTGACGGAATATGCGGTAAACTGATTAAGGTATTGTAAAACATATGCACACATGCATCATTTTAGTGCAAGCAAAACCTGATTGGCAGATGAAGTTGAGGTTCTCCTCACAGGGCTAGTCCTGCCAGAGGAAGTCCGTGCTGGCCAATTTAAGAAATCCATGGACTGTCCAGACATCCAGAACAACTCGTCTGCTCTGAGGGATCTGTTTCTTTCTAAATAATTCCTTGTTAATCAACACAGGAGGTTAAATAACTAACCTTTATGTTAAAGCAGGTTTATCACATTTTCAGTTAAAGCTATAGAAAGTGTCTATTGTGGCCTTTTCCTGTGTGGTAATGGCCACAACACAAATGAGAAGATACAAGGGCACATAGCTTGTGACTTAAAGACCTTGTCTACTAAGAATGTTTTGACTTGCAAAATTCACTGTTCATGAGAAGAGAGTTGGGTAGGGCCTTTCAGTATCTCCCAGAATCCTGAACCTAGATCGTGAGCCTTCATATTTAACTACTAAACAAATCAACGTTGGGACCTATCCGGTTAGTGTTGCCTGAATAGGGAAAGTATTCATGGATGTGTATGTGGGAATGGCAGAAATACAAATAGGAAAGGACAAGGACGTAGAGACATGTTTCTTAAAGGAATATATTTGCAAAATTTGTACTGACAGCCATTAATTAAAAAAAGAGAGAAGTGCAAGGCACAAGACTTTTCACTTTGCAGTAGAAGCTTGGATGTAGAACTTTAACCTCATTTATGGAAAAAAGGGTGTCTTTTTTGTTTTGTGTTTTTATTTCTAATTTTTAATAATGAAAAAAGGTTTTAGAAACAATGTAAAACTCTTTTTAGAAGATATATTGAAAATTCCACATTTGTAGCTCTCAAAAAAAGTCAACGTGGCAAATGTAAGGGCACATGCATGCAGATGGTCGTAGCTGCAGACAGCTAAAACCATTCTTACAGAAGTAAGTATCAGGGTCAACTGTACTGGGGGGGTTGCGGACTCAGATCCCACCACCCTTTAGTTGTTCAGGGCAACCTGTGCACCTCTTCACTGTGATAAAGAATAGAGCTGAAGAAGGCTAAGGTAAAGATGTCTGAACTAGAAGATTTGAAAAAGAGCTTTGATGAACTACAGGCTAGGCTTCCAAGTGCTGGCCAAGGCGACGAGAGAAATGGGGATGCCAAGGGGACCATTAGTCGCCAACATACTCGCAAAGACCATTGGTGGAAAAATTCCCCTCAGAGTGATGAATACAAGTAGGAAAGCTTGTAGGGGGCAGAGCTGGGATCAGTTGGAGGCAGCACAGAAAGATGACCCCATTGTTAGGTCGGTTTACCAAGTGGTTGAGAAGGGCACTGGAATGAGCCATGCTGAACTGTGCATGTCAACACCTGGTACAAGGCGACTTTACCATCAGCTTTACCGCCTTAGGCTTTATGAAGGTGTGGTGTATAGGCATGTTAGAGACCCCCATGATGGGGAAGAGATCAGGCAGCTCATTGTCCCAGAGACCTTGCAACGTAAAGTATATGAAATCCAACATAAGCATGGGGGACATTTCAGTGCAAAGAGTACCCTCAGAATGATGAGGAGGAGCTATTACTGGCCCACAATGAGCAAAGATGTGCGGGGCTGGGTCAGCGATCACCACAAGAACCTAAGGCCAGCTGTAGAGGTAGCAGACTCAGCTGCACAGGGTGCCTCCAAGAAAGGGAAGAGAATCTATGATCGAAAGTGCCACGGCACTGTGCTCTGGTCAGGTGACCGGGTTCTGTTGCACAGGTGACCGGGTTCTGTTGGTGGTGAAGCAGAACCACCCCGACATTCCTGTGTTCACAATCAAACCAGAGAGAGGTTGCTCAGTGAAGGTCCTACATAGAGATCAGCTCAAGTTGTGCGCTTTTCGTCCCCTTTCTTTCGGCGTGGTCTGTGGTGCCGTGTAGACGCACCTGCACGGCATCTTCAGATCACGCCCGCGGTGTTAAAACTCAGGGGTTAGTGTTTTTGTGGTGTGACGCAAATCAATAAAATGGCTCAAAACTGTGACCCGTGGACTTGCCGTGCCTTATTCACACCACACTGGTGCCGAAACCCAGGACGCGGCACGACGGGTGCACGCCAGAGCCAGGAAAGGGGGAGGGGGGGGATCTGGCCCAGATCATAGACGAAATGGTGGCCATCCAGTGGGAGCAGGCGTCGCCAGCAGGAAGAGCTGCGGGACCAGACCAAGATCACTTAAAAAGGATTGGGGGTCTGGCGGCACTGCTCTGGGCCTGCGCCACCCCCACAGGGGTGTCCCGAGGGTGGTGAAGCAGTGGAGGAGCCGCGTGAGGCACTTCAGCAGCCGGAGGTGGTAGACAAGGGGCTAGACGGTCCGCGCCGGCCGGAGGAGGGGGGGGGAGCAGCCAGGAGAAGGGCTGCTCCTGCCGGGAGCGGTGGAGGAGCTGCTCCAATCGGAGGTGGCGCACGAGGCATGCGAGGGTCTACACCTGCCGGAGGTAGAGGAGCCGCTGCGGGAAGGGCTTCTTCAGCAGGGAGCGGTGGATGAGGTGCGAGGGGGTCCATGCCTGCTGGGTGAGGAACCGCTACATGAGTGGCTACTCCAGCCGGGAGCGGTAGATGAGCCGCCGGGCGGGGGGCACCTGTCAGGGGTACCTGCGCGACCTGGGGTCCCGGAACAACGGACGCCGGTCCAGCCGGCAGTGAGTAGGTCTTCACGGCTGTGTCTGCACGGTCGTGCCGGTTCGCCAGGTGGCTGGCCTCCGGACCAGCGTTGCCATCACCGCTGGAGACTTGGACGGCCTCCACAAGAGACACTGGCTTGTTATCGGGTTGGAAGCCGGTGGGGGAGTAGGTTGATGGTGGCAGTGACTTCGTGGACAGCCAACAAGTCTACTCAGTCTACTCTCCACTTCTGTATCACAGAATGGGTACAGCACCCATCAACACCTTTAGTGTCAGAGTTTGCGGGGTGATCAGGAGAAGTAGAGACACATGAGGACACAGCTGACTCGAATGAAACATAATGACAACACAGGGGAGAGTAACACTGGACACACTAAGATTAGACACGGACCTTCAAAGTAAAACCCTGAAACATGATAGGACTAGACTCTGAACTAAACCTAAAAACAAACTCTTAACCAGAATAACACTGAAACTTGGGACTATAATATTCCAAACAGGACAACTAAAGAATCAGAAAATAAACCATAATACAGAAAAAAAAAACACCAAAATACAAGAAACAGAAAATGCTGGGTCAAAATAGCCCAAAACCATGTCATTAAGAGGTTATCCCGAATTGATTGCCAAGCAGTGACTGTACTGTTTGTCTGTTTAAAGCCATGTTTTCAAGCGGCTCAACTAAATTGTTGAAAAGAACAAACAGACATGAATCAGTAACAAGCAGATGTGTCTCAGTAGATCAGATCCAATCACTTAAAAGTCTACCTGCTGGGGCAGCATACACCTCAACTTCACACAGGATTTGTGTCATCTTCTGTCCAGGAAGAAACACGTTCACAAAGCGACCCTCCATCCTGCCTCCATCACACTGGAATGTGTAGGTTTTACCCGCTTTGATATGTGAGATAGAAGCACACCTGACAACAGAAAGGGTACATCAATATTATATTAATATAATGTATAGTGTGTCATGAAAAGGCTGTCAAACAAATTTCTGAAAATATAAAAACTACAGTTCTGTCTTTGTGCTTTTTTTGATCGTGTATGGCCAACATTGACACAAATGTCAGTCTGGACCAAAATGTAAGTTTCTGACAGATAGTCATAGTCATGGTCCTAGGTCGTTCAGCCCAAGTTTATTTCCTCATTTATTACATATTTCATCTATCCTTCTTTAGTATTGTTTTGTTTTATTTTGCTCTGTTTTGCTCCTAGTTCCCAATTGCTTTAGAATCTAGTTCCCTCTCAGTTGCACCTTCTTGTGTTACTCCTTGTGTATTAAGCTCATTCTTGTATTTCTGTTTTCCGTATTTAGTTATCTCAGTTTTTATTCTACTTTTCTTCTTTTCTTCTGCTTTTTATTTTTGATAGTAATTGCTCCTTGTAATTTTGCTTGACTTCCCTTGACTAGTGTGTTTCTAAATAATTTAAAGGCTTTAGTAAGTTTAAACTTTTCAGTTTCCTTTTTGAACCTTTTGTTTCACCTTTTTAGAATTCCTAAAATGTCAATTAATAGCTCACTTTGACATTAAAATGGTCTGCCAACGCATGGCTGCATTTGGGTCCTCCTTTTTATGATCTAAAGCATTAATAGTTTTTTTTCAAAATGGCTCACAGACAGGTTTTTTTGATAGTAGCTAGCTGGTATCCCTGTCAAAGGGTAATTTAAGTGCCATGTTGGGGACAATACATGTCTTGTAAACTTTGAACTCTCGCTATTCTGAAATGACTTTCACAATAAAAGTAGTCTAATACAAATTCTCATCATTGTTGTTGTTGTTTCCATTGTTCTCCAGCACTCTGGCATAGACCTTCCCATGAAGGCTGAGGAGTGTGATTCCCCTATAGTTGGAACACACTGGTCCCCTCACTTAAAGATGGAAACCACCACCCCAGTCTGCCAATCCAGGAGTACTACC